TCTTAGTGCTGTTTTGCATATCCATCTAAAAATGGAGAGGAAACGTGAAATGTATCTATCTTTGGTGAAAATAATTTGGACTTGCATGTGGTTCAAAAGGCACAGGTGAAAACTAACACCAGTGTATTACAGTATTTAATAGTCAAGTGGTTCTTTAATAATTCCTTTAAAAACTGTTACTGACTACTAATTCTTGGCATAGAACTGAGTAAAAGTTGTAACGATTTACTTGCAAAACTGCTTTAATGTCTGAAAAAACTAAATACCATAAAGAAATTAACTACTGGAAAAAAAAAAAGGCTCCAAAACACCAAATAACTTCAGCATAAAGAACCTCAACAAAAATACAATTCAATCCTCATTCTCGTAAGAGCACAAGAGAGATGTCTTCATCTCTCCCATTACCTTGACTGTTTCTAAAGAACACAAGTGTAAAACGAGATTATTATTGGATCACTTCAACACAATACCACTGCTCAGCGGGAGCCTCAGTGATCACTTTCCAAAAGTGTTCTATAACTTGTCTCACATATTTGCACAAATTCTGATGCGATGTCCATAACAAATGACACATAAGCAGCACTCGCTTTGCAGCAAGCTCAGTCTACATGCAAATGTCTGGTTCTCTGGAAGCAGTGCTGTCTAAACAATCCCTACAAAATAAAGGCAATACAGCAGCAACTTTGGTTATTGCTGCGTTTCCTCTCAAGTAGTTGCCTCAAGACACAAATAATAGACGACTACAAAGATCTGACTTGAACAAAAAGCAGTACACAACAGCATATATAAATGGTGACCACCACTACTAAAGAAATTAACTTGCTCCTTTTCCAATTCTAAAAGTTCAACAACTCTTCCCACACCAGTTTTGGTTTCTCCAGTCCCAGTTGCTTCAGCAGTTTTATCTTTCAGAAGTTGCAAACCCGTGTAGAAGGGATCCACCACCAAACCAGAAAAAGAAACTGTAGCGATGGCTGCATCAGCAACTACAGTAATGGTTTCTCTTCCCAGCCTTGAATTTCCAGTGGAAAAGATGCTTAAGTGGCTCCAAGCAAAGAGCACTCATCTTAATTACAGCACTCAGCTTTTGGGTTATATTAAGGATTATATTAAGCAGCAAAACATCATCTCAGTTGTAATGTTGCTCTTTTGTCAAGAGATACTACAGAAAACATTTAGAGTACACTTCAAAGTGCTTCTCAGATGAAAAATTACCCCCCTTTGGAGCACACTTTAGATACTATGATAATGAATTTCATACTGTATCATTTACTGGTCAAAACGAGAATTCATTATCAACATTCCTGCACAATTACCTTAGCTTACAAAATTCAAGATGGTTTACGCTGTCATACACTAACACTGACAACAGCCAGATAATAAAAACCATCTTCAACTCCCAAGTGACTTTTTTTTTCATTTGAACCATAAATAGTCACTATTAAATGGAAAGAAAACAACTGAAGATATTATAAAGTCAGAGAAACCGGCAGGTTAATGGAGGCGATAGCTATTGTTTTGACTACAAAATCTACTAAACTACATGTGTTCAAACATAGAAACAGACATAAAATAAATAAATACATGAGCTTAGTGTTGGTTTTCTTTTTCCAAAGAGAGTTTCACTTCACAAAACTGTCAGATGTGTGATTTCTCATTCATTTCTTAGGGCTAGCTCGAGGTTTTCTATTAATTAGTTTCTTTACTTTCTGTAAGTTGTCTATAATTTCCTCATCGAAAGAAGAGTTAGTTCCCCGAAATAATGATTTCAAACAGGTTTGTGACCACTTGGTGCACACCACAGAAAGTACAAGACCTGAGTGTGCTGCCTGGGACTTCCATTTCTGCACAGCTCAGGCCCAGTTTAAAAACAAACCCAAGCACTGAAGCCTGTCACAGTTTAATCTGAGTCAAAGCACAAGGACATACAGATTGCATAGACATATCTAAAGATGCATTACACTCGCATAAGGTACACAGCTATTAAAAAAAATTAATTATTATGTAGAATATTTGCAACACATTAATTTGATCTTAAGTTGATCAATTAAAATGCGAGTTGCATCAAAATTTCAAAGCACAGATTGTATGCTATAAACTTTAACAATGAAAGTATTTCTGAAAAACCTCTGAAATACTGACGATTTGATTTTAAAATAGTTTCCCAAAAATATTACATCCAGACTGAACTACTTAGCTAACCACAACAAGCTAAAGACATAAAGCAATGGAGAATTTTAATATCACCTACGGGCCCCAGAAACAGAAACGCAGGACAGCATCTGGAACAATGGCAATCTTGAAACTATCTGAACCCCTTATCACAAGTGAAGGCAGATGAAAACCATGAATCTAAAACCAGTTCAAATTGTGAATTTCTTCAAGATTGTGACATTCAGAGCTGTATTCCAGCTACACACACTTTTTAAATTCAGTAATCTACAATAAAAAGATTATTTTACACCGAGAAAATCTACTTTTCATGACCAAAACACAAGGGTTTCATTGCTTAAATCACAGACTAGAATCACTGTATTCTTTGGCTCTGACTGACTGCCTGCCCTCCACCTCGCCTAATGTTTGTCCCCAGTCGACTTCCACAAGCTTTCCTCCCACCATCACCACCATTTACACATACAGACAACCCAGCTGTCCCCTAGCAAATATATATGCATATATATTTAAACACCATGAGAGAGGCCAGCCCACATAGGCTGCTTCAACAGTACTGGCGCACTTGTTTCCTATTTTCTCACTTCCATGTGAAGTTTAATATGATGATGGTTTCTATTTTTAGAGAGCAATTTTCTGAACTATTATTCAAATCTGAATCATCTGTAAATAAAGATGCCTTTAGCTTGGCATCAGCTATTTTCTCTACAGCACTAGACTTTGTTCTTGCCCTAATGACTTCTCAGTCATAATTTTCCCCAGATTCTGATAACACTAAATTTAGATCACAACAGATATTTTTTATTATAATCTCTGGCATCTTTGCACCACATTCTTTGCCTTATATTAGCTACACTGAGTACCATTCCTTTATTCCCATAGCTGCTTTTCCAAGAGGGATCTAAAATCTATGTGAGCTAATACACAGAAAAAAAAAAATTGGCTCATATATTTATATATTCATATTGTTGAATAGATTTTACCTCCTTTCATTCACTTTTTTTTTCGTTATTCATTTTTATACATTTAGAAACTTAAACACAACACCGCTCTATTTCAGACTGGAAAATCAGGAAAAAACAAAACCAAAAGCAAACCAAAATTATTTACAAGACTTTAAGCCAAAAGTCTAGAAATCTTAAGAATTTCCATAATGCAGGATCTTTAAAAATAACTGCAAGCAGGTATCAAGAAAACTCAGAATTCACCTGATAGTACTCTCCTCACAGTGACTGCAGTGAGAACCTAAAAGTAATTTGTCAGAGGTAGGTAGTCCTAGGAGTTGAGCAAACAGCCCAAGCCTTTCTACCCCAAGGAGATGAGAAATTGATTTAAAAGCTCCATCTTTTAAACACAGGAGATAAAAGGGAACATTCATGTGCTGGCCAGGGTAGGAAATTAAAGCTGGTTAGATGGCTTCAACAAAGTAAACCTGAAACATTTAAACTAGCAAAATAAAATTAACACTTAGATTTTCCTCCAGCTTTTCTGCTACAAGTTTTTTTTTTTTGCTAGGCATCCCAACACACACATGGTGGACACAAGGTCCACCTCACAGGTGCCGACCCAAGGTTATGTGTCCTCTCCTGTTTCTTACCTTGGCTGGGTTTCTTTTACATAGAATGGGTACTACCCACAAAAAGCTCCAATCCTGTCCCAAACTACATGAATGCAGAACCAGTGTCCATGCACACACTACAGAAAGCACCTGCCTCACACATTAGGCAAAGCTGAAATTGTGTCAGCAGCATCTGGCCCTGTTTGCTTTTTAATGATTTATATGTGCAATATTTTTGAAATGCTATTGCTAGATTTTCCACATGCTCTTTTATTAGCAACATCAAAGCTGATTTCCTATATGTTTCCTATAAATGCTTTGTACAGTTCATGTTCTTGCCTTTTTCCTTTGTTTGTCTTGTGTTGTTCTCCTGACAGTGAGGCAAAGCAAAAATTACTTGAAGGAAGCAATATAAACTATTGTGGTTTTGTTTTTTTATTGGGTTTTAAGTCTGAGTATCTTGAAAATAATATACAAATAAGAAAACTCCAGAAAACAAAATACACTATATGAAAACGCACATGGAGAAAACCTTCAAGAGTTTTGTCCCATGATTTCCCCTGTATTAAGTTGTTAACCAGTTATCAAAAGCTTGACCAAAACGTTATTTCTAACTTCTACAATTAAGTCAGATGCAAAAAGCACTCAAGTAAAGGTTCTTTTAAGATAATTCAAAAGACTCTGAAGTAGACTATAAGTAATACCCTGCTTTGACATGTTTTAGCCTCGTGCCATTTTGTACCTTCAGGCTTTTCAGCCATAACAGTTCTTTGATAATCACAGTTGTCCTTTTCCTCTTTTAGGAATGACTGATTTTTAGTTTACCCCCTTAGCTTCTTTTTACTATGCCCCCAGCCATTCCACTTACCTTATCTCCTTATTGTCAATAAACCCACCAATATTACCATTTAGTTTAGTGTGATCCATAATACAGGTTTATTTTATGATCTATTGACCAATTTACTTGGAAACAGATGAAATAGTATCTTCAGATTATTCAGGGATCAATAATGCTATCTGCTACAAGATGAGCTCTTTAAAAACTATCAGCTGCAAGTCAGTTAACTTTGCTAAACTCCCTAGCCACTCATAAATATTAACATTTAAACACACTATTTCCATCAAAACTCTGAGAAAACTGGTTTTAGTAATAGTCTTACTCTTTTTCAGTTCTAAAAAAAGAGCTAAACTCACTGTGCGGGCAGCCCCTGCACTGAGCACAGAAATAACAGCACCTTCGGATAGTGATTAATTTTAATTCTGTACATACCTATGATGCATTTGAAAGGTCATATTCAGGTAAGGTGTATCCTCCTCTTTGTTGTGTTTTTGTAGGTGGCAGTCAATCATGTCATGTCTGGCACTGTGGAGTTATTCTTTGGAATCCAGCCTACAGCAGTAAAGGAAATCAATCATGTATCCCAGTCCAATAACCCATCCTTGCCTGCAAAACATTTTCTTTTCTCTTCAAATATGCCATAACCAGCATAACGACTGCATGTTCACCCCATTTCTAAGTATATGTTTCATTTCACTAATTCTCAGCCCATGGAAACACAAGTGCTTCAGAATACAACTCAATGCTTGATACAATAAGTCTTTCTCTGTCTTGTCTTTTGCCAATATTTTCATCAGTGTATTTTTGATCAGACCTAACTCAGCACTTTAATGATTTTTTTTTTTCCTGAACTAGTGTATTTCCACTGCGAGTAAGCTTTTTTCCTCTTTGAGGTTCTAAGATTCCCACCACTCAGTAAAATTGATGGTATCCACACTTCTTAAGACTGATACTGATCTTAAGGATTTTCATTTATTTTCCAGATGTATGTTACCAAATTGCTACCAAATCAGGTTTTGTTTTTTATATCCAAGTAAATAATTTCTCTAAAGGGAGCCACTTCAACAAGAACCATTGGCAGGTTCTTCCCAATTTCCATTTTTCCTGCCATCTATGCTGTGTTAGTCAAAGTAATAAAACAATGACTCCCTTTATAGCAGCAGACCTGAGGTACAAAGGCAGAAGTTTAGAAATATTCTTTTAAAAGTTTTCATTTCTTGACAAGCAGTACATTTCACACACTGGTCTGACTTACAAGAGATTTCAAGAGTCTCAAAGTTGCAGGAGGAGGTTATAGTTTCATAGATGTCCAAAGAACATCCTCAAGATTTGCACATAAAATCTAAGATTCAGACTTCAAAAACTTATATAACATGGAACCAACATCAAATTCTGTTCAGATGAGAGGGTGAAGAACAAAGTCTTCAGACTTGCCAACTTCTCCTGGGTCTTACGTGGGGGCGATCATCACTGATGACCTGCAAGACACAAGCCTAATTCAACCACATCAACCCTTCATTTTATTTTTGTCAATGGGGCTAAAACCTGCTGGTAGAACCAATGAAGTAATTGCCCCTCCAAGGATTGTTTAAGGCTCTCTTTGACTACAGGAAGGTGAAGGATTACAACTCATCCTCTGCAACTGTGCACACAAAAGAACCTGCTCTACAGCATTAAGGTTTGAGAGCTTTCTTCTGACTCCCCTAATAGCTCAAACCAAAATGCATAATCTTGTTATCAAGCAAGCATTTTTCTCGAATCTAGGATCTTAACCATGAACACAGCTAGAAAGGCTGCTGCCTTGGTCATCAATCAGCCTGAGAGTATGGCGCAGTCCTCTGATACTTTCTGGCAAGGGTCAGTTTAAAACTGCAGGCACAGTTTAAAAACTCTACTTGAAAACTTTTAGTTGTACTTTTACTACCTTAAAACTGGCACAACCTTTTATTAACCCAGTGTGACATTTACAAGACTGTCCTAGCTGATTAGTTAACAGTGTGGAAGTACATTACAGAAGTATACACCCAAGTTATTTCTTATTTTAGATCTTAGGCTAGAATTCTAGTTTTATTATGAAGAGCTATCCCCCTTAAGAAAAAAAAAATCAGCACCCAAACCCAAAAACAACCCCCTCCCCCCCCAAAAAAAAGCCAACAAAAAAAACCAAAACCAAACACTAAAAAACATTAAATCAATCTATATCAGTGTTTAAGCTGTTCCAACACTTAACACTGAATAGTTGAACTGGAAGACAAATGTAACAGTAGGAAAGCTGACTCCTTCACATAACAAAACACAATCTACAGAATAACATGACTTAGAAGTGATCCGTTGTGTAGGAAGAGGAGATATATTTTTAATGAAGACTGCCCTCAAGTTTCTACATACAAAGTTTTTTTTAAATAATGTGACAAGGAAACTGTTCCCCTGTTTGAACGACTTTCAGTGACTTGAAACAGTTTTCTAGTCACCCAACCAATCTTGTGCTACAGAAAATCAGGAATCCCTACTTTAATCAGAGTATGCAGCGCATGGGTCCTGAGAGCATAAGCAGAGAGGCTCAAATCCACCACAAGCAAGCCCTCAACCTCTCAGGTTATAAAGTTCCTTAATAATAGGCCTACGGGCTTTTAAAGAGTTTCCTCTCCAGCTGCGCTTTCACTTTTACATACTTCAGTAAAAGATCAGGAACCCAAATTTGTGTCTACCAAATCCTGAAACTGGACTGTACTGTCAGATTTAACCAGGAACTGTACCCTGGAGTCAAGAAACTTTTCCAGCAACCAGTTCTGTTGAAACTGGTAGACTTCTATCAAAAGTTTAAGTTTTGACAAATTGGCAGGTTTTTATATTAAAGTGACTTTATCAGAAAAATTCTCAATTAGGACAAGCTCTAACACTGAATAATACAGCCAAGCTTTCTAAACCACAAGGATTCTTCTGCTTAATCATCTACTAATTGCTACTTACAAGGAACAATACACGTTTAAAGTCAAGAGCTTGATGGAAATATTGGAACAGTGTAGATGTTGGTGACATGCCTCAAAATTATGCGATCTTAATAATGCTCTCAACACAGGGATAAGAAAGACTAGACTAAACCACTAGAGACTAAGCCAGGACAAGAAAAAAGTTGAAAGATAAACATTTTCAATGGCATGAACATTAGAGTATTTTGTAGGTATGCCAATTCTCTGTGTCCACAACAAATAAAATCACAAACGGTAATGTAGTGTTTTCAACTGTTTTCAGATATCAAAAGAGGAGAGAAAATGGCAAGGGTAATGTAACAAAGCTGCAGCATAAATAAGTAGTTTTCATGACCTAGAGAGCTATAAAGAGGGGCAAATACTAGATAATAATTTGGTTAACTGAAAGAGCTCATTATCTTTTAATTTCATTAATTGTAAACTCCCTGATCTCTACTAAATTATAAGGATAGCATACAAAATGCCATGCTATGTGACTTGAGTTAACAGACTAGTTTACATGACTCTAGTCATGTAGAATACCTGACTAGTGGTAGATTTTTAAAGCAATCTTTAGGCACCCAACAGGGCTCAATTTTTTTTGGCACTGTGTACCTCGCATCGCTTGCCCTGTGAGGTGTCGGCTCTCAGCTATAGTAAACCCCTGTTCACAGTTCTACCTACTGTATTTCCCAAGATCAAAATCTCATCTATGCAGACCTCAATACTCTACCCCTAGTACATCACCAAGAATGTGTTGCATTTTCCTCTGAAACACCTCAGGTGCCAAACACAACCCAAATGGCAGTTTGAGGAAACTGTCTCAGAGGGGATGTTGAATGTGTGCAAGCATGTACTCTGTTTTTGTAAGGGTACCAGCCAGATCCCTGCTGATGCCTCAAGTGCAGGAAAGTATTTGGCACCAACCCCTATCCCCAAAATTTATCCCCTTGTAGGTAGCGGAAAAATGTTCCATTTTTAGTTATTCAATTATATTGGGCCCATACATAAATGGAGCATTCTGTCTGTCTTGCTGCGCAAAGATCAGTAATTCTATCCACTTGGCTGGTGTCTTCTAGGTACGGTGAGGTCCATAGACCTGAACCTTTCCTACTTACATTTTAGCCCCTATTTAAACAAATCTCAGGACAGGTGGGGGGTCTCTGCATTTCAAGCACAAGCCCTGATCATTGCTCTGTAAATAAACTCAGCCTGCTCTCCAGAGCTCCTCAGCAGTCTCCTGCACTTGCAGGGAGTTTCAACTGTGGGGGTATTTTCAAGAGTTCATTCTGTAACTTAAGACCCATCTCTCATTTTACACTTTAAAAAATTTATTCTTTGGAAATCATTCAGAGGCAAAGTACCTGACAAAAGTTTAGTTTCATAGTTTTATGCAATAGCAACCTTATTACTAGAGAGTCATTTCAACTCATCTAAATAGCACTTCTTTCTGGAAGATACAGCTTGTCTCAAGGAGAAACCCAGTGAAAACAGGCACTCAGATTCCTAATCTTATTCCTCGAACCAAACAGCATAGACAACTTACTGGGCTGTGCAAGGGCTCCTATAATGGAAACAGAAATGTAAGGGGAAGGGACAGTGAATGCCTGAATTTTGTGCAGTCAAAGCTAACAGGAAACACTGAAAGTGCTCAGACAGCATTAAGAGCCAGAGAGGTTAAAGGAAGAAATGTGCCATGGCCAGACCTCACCATTCAATTCCAGCTTTAACACTCACGCTGGTATCTTTGGCAGCATTGTCAATTATATTTCAGTTCTTGCCTAGAGGCCCAAACTATTCTGAAACCCTTCTGCAATCAGCTAACACATTTTAGAAGAACGTTTATAGATATATTTTTACTTTAAAACTCAAATCTTGTTGGACTAAACATGTTTTATTTTACTAATTTCCAGTAAAAACAAAATATATAGGCCTCAATACACTGGGGTTTTTCCTCAGTGCCAAGAATCTTCTAGCATTCAGACATCTCTGTAATGAACTTTAATAAAAGATTAAAAGGCTACTTCACAAGTGCCTGGAACAAATATAAGCAGAGGGAAGACAATTTCCTTTTTCTTTCAAACAGTGCAGCAAACCATGAGCCCTTCCAAATAATAAAAGAATGTTTACCGCCTCCCTTCTTCTTCCCATAACAATCTTGATGTTAAGTAAGAAAAACTTTAGCTCGTCACAGGCATATTTCTCTTCAGTATCTCATGCTAAAGAGGCACAGAAACACAGAAGTACTGACTTATTTGGGGCTTCTGACAGAAAGGTTGAAATACCTGCTGTATTGGACAACACAGAGAATCACGATTTAGAATATCTAGAAATATACTGTGATGTAATTAACAAAGCACCTAAGAATTAGGAAATCAAAAATTTGACCCTACTCAGCTCCCTCACAGTCACCCTTAAATGAAGAAGAAAATGTTTCCACTCACACAGAATGAGTTACTCCAGGAGACAGAACTCCGAGCAGGTTTCCATTGAAAACAATGGCTTAATAGAAGATGAAAAAACATGGAAAGTGGAAGCGTCTCCCCTTTTTCCACACATTATCTGATTTATAGTGCACAGGTAACCATCAGGAGTTCTTACCAACAGAAGAGTAGAAAGCTGCTGATTAAAGAAGAAAGCTGAAAGAGGTACTTTTCCTTCACATACCCACTGTAGAACAAAAAGGCTCTCATGCTTAAAATCTAGCTCCTCCCCATCTCCATAACACAATGCAGCTCACCTGTAGCATTCAAAGAAAAACAAATTAATTATGATGAACTAGGCCTGATAATAATTAAAAAGAAAGAAAAAAAAAGCAGCAATTAAATATCTCCTATTATCAATCTTAAATCTTCCTAAAAATTGAGAAAAATTACCAAGCAGATCATTATTTTGGCAAAATTATTTAAATTATCATCCCATGCTTTTGAAACATAACTCTAGGCATGCCAGAACTACAGATAATGATTTAAGATCAACTGAGTAGGACTTAGCACATGCCTACACTACGAAGACTAGAATAACTTACTACTTCTGCTTAAGCATCCTCCACTTTTATAGTGCAACTCTGTCCAAAGGGTAGAATATGTAGTAATAAAATGATCTGTGATTCATTACCACTCTAACATTTTCACTCCCACTGCCCCATCACTGTTGCCCTTCTGCTCACAGTATGCGATGTGCATGTTCATTTTCACTAATAGAAAAGCTATAGCAGTTGACGAACTGAGGTCAGAAAAGTGACCTTTTCAGTAAGACACATTTTCATGAGTAAATGCATGGGTCTATGTAAAAATGCAGCCTTCCTTCAAAGTGGATGTAGCTAGTCAGCTATACTGAATTTTGATCATCTTTCTCTTACTTCATCTAGTACCTTCCCTCACCATTCCCCCAAGATTAAATTGCATCCAATGAGTTTTAAAAAATAAGTTGCCAAATCACCCCTCCTCTCACCTTCATCTCTGTGTGCAAGGTCTTATATCCATTTTATATACAGATGAAATTATTTGGTCTAACAGGAACAAACCACAGCAGTGTTTTCCCCTGTTTTCAGCTAGTGTATCTAGCAGCTTCATTAAGTAGTTTCTAAAGTATTTAATAGATTCAAAAAAAAACAAACAAACAAACAAAAATAAACAAAAAAACAACTCACATCAAGGAATAAAAATATAATATAGATAAAGCTGGGCCTCTGACATGTTTTAGATTAAAAATCAGCATGCATGTGTCATTTAAATGTGATTACCACTCTTTAGGTTGGAAACAAGTTTCCCTAGGTATAGCCAATGGCAGAGGGAAAAAATGAACCGTGGCCAACAAAAAATTGGCTTTCTTAGAAACTATTAATAAGAAATCTGATGAGAAGGGCATTTTTCTGCGCAACTGGGTAAATATGAAGTATTTCCACCACTACTTTTTTTATACAGTAAATCACTAAAACATAAACCTGTATCAGAAAAATACTCTGGAGCCAACAAACCTCTGGTCCAAAATTAGTTGGTAAAAAAAATATTTAATAATTATACCTCTTAGAAATATGTTTATACTCTAGTTCAGAACTATTTTAAAATGCTTCAGAAAGGCAAACAGCCATACAAACACTTTGTGGCATGAAGTGCCAACTGAAACAAGCTTGTAAGTATGTGAAATTACATTATCTGACACATTTCAAAAGCTTATTCAGGTGCTTATTTAAGTCCATAAAACCTGTAGGGAAATAAAGACAGGATGACATTTCAGTCAGCTTACCATAACATTTTTCTAGTGAAACTGCATAGCAACATATTAACGCTGAAAAAAATGTCAGAAGTAAAAACAAATGCCAACAAGCTAAATGATTCTGTGGAAAAAAAAACAACAAAAAAACACGCAGCTACTAGTAAGGTAATATCAGCACATTACAAAGCATGTCAGTCTTACAAGCAGTTTACAGCATCAAATATATGCAGTCAAAATATCATAAAACATCTTAACTGCACTCTAAAATGAGAAAACAAGGCAGTTTATACCACATACTGTGTGAAATCTGTGCCTCAGTTTGTTCTGCCAATACATACAGTTTGGAGGAAATCGCCAAACTTTTCATTATTCTATGAACAACCAAGCAACAAGAGTATCTCCATGTCAGAGCTTCTCAGACTGTATAAATATTCCCCAACACATTTTAATTTAGTCATCAATTCACACACTGGAATGAGACACACCATTCTGTCCAGCAATATTTCTGAACTGAAAAAGCTAGAAAGCAAGAATCAGGTGCTAAAGATAGCCCAGTTCATACCTAACAGAAATTCTTTCAATGACAGAAATATGATGGGAAAGTATCCCTTTCCCCATGACCAATTCATCTGCAAATTAGTTCAGATCAGACTACACATGGAAAGAGATGCCTAAGCTGAGATCAGACAGGTGATCAGAGAGAGAAGCCTGGAGAAGTGCGCTGTGTGAATTTAAATGAATTTAAATTAAATGATTCTTAATATCACGAGGGGAATAGGAAAGACAGTGCTATTCAAGATGCATAAAGTACCAATCATGAAGTTTTAGTCATCTCTTTTCCATAGCTTAGTAACAGCCATCCACATATTCTTTTCACACCCAAAAGTACCACTGAAATTACACCAGGATTGTCAGAACAAGATCTAGATGCCAAATGATTCACAGTTGGAAAAATACAAGCAGAATAAACAACCATCTAAAATTTTAGTCTTACACACACTCTCAAATGAGCAACGCTCTTTTCCAAATCTACTTCCCAAACCATTCCTTACCTATTGTACTATTTCCCCAGAGAAAATCCTGCTGCTTTTACTAAGAAGAAAAAAAAAAGACCTCAAAGAAACTGGTGAGAGATGAAAGTTAACCATCTTTGATTGTTACATCACTGGACATGTATGAATAGCAATATAACCTCCTTGATGCAGTTGCTTTCCCCATGGTCTTCATGGTCACCTTTAGTTCATTTTTATATCTCACTTGTATCATGTTCCAGCAGCATCTGCTCTTAGCACAAATGGATTAGTATCACCTATGTAGCACTCACAGCAGTACCAATGTCCTAGGCTGCAAGCTGCCCAAAGGAAACCCTTTACCTGAAAAACTTAGTACATTTCTGAATACATAATGATAATGTTTTCATCTAAACTATTTCTTCAAAAAAGGCGTACATGTGATACAACCATCCAACCCTAACTATTCTATGATTATGTGATTCTATGATCCTAGTAAAAAGCATTTTCACATACCCTTGCTTTTAAGAGTTTCAAATATTTTCCATTTAGGGGGACAGAGTACTTATTAACAACAAAGGAAACCCAGTGTGTAGATCTTATTTCCATTATATAAATCAATTATCACAAGCAATGGTGCCTGAAACAGAACTAGAATGTGAATTCTAAATCTCTCACACTTTTGTATATTTGGAAAAAGTAAATAGAATAAACAAAATTTTCCTCATTCTATTACATGGGGAAAGAGGCAAACACGAGCTGCTTACTCATGTGAATTTAACAGGACTTTACCTCTACAACATCAGCTTCAGAAATTCCTGCCCCAACATGTTCATTCCCAGCCACATACTGCAGTTAATTATGTCAGCTCTGACACTTCAGACTGATAAAATCTGCCCTTAATGAAACATTTTGAATGAAAGGACAGAAGGAATACTTAGCCTGGTTAGCAGTGCAGGCCCACAGAGTAGCTGGAGAGGCACATCTGACAACATGGCAAACCGCTATGCAGGAATACACATGTAGCTGAGGGTAAAGGGAGGGAAAAGAAGCTCTTAAACCAGCGTCACAAATACAGTTAGTGTCTTGTTATTTCACTGACAAACTGTAAGAAACACAGTCTCTAAAAACCCACTTCCATACAAAAATGGTCCTTCTTGCAGTGGATGAATTACTGCAAGGAAATGCACATCCACCCCTACAAGAGACTGCTTTATTGGTTACTACGGACCTGCTGACTGAAAAAAGTCTATTCATGCTACTGTAAACCCTAAACAGAGCAAAACACTAAAAACCAGAAGCTGAAGTCCATCTTTGCATTTCTGTATTAACACCAGTCACATACTAAATCATTCTGAGTGGCATCTATTGAATAGCTTAAAGAGAACACCATTCAGCAACAAACTAAAATAGCTAAGGCTTGAAGACCCACAAGTCAGTGTGAATCCTACCTTGATCTAAACCTGTCCCTGTGGAAGGCAGTGGACAACAGACTGAACCAAGGCAGTTTTCAGATCAAAACAATTGAGTCAGTGAGTCCCCACCGAACTCCACTTTCTTGCCTTGGCCATGATACAGCAAAGATTACTTGAGACAGGAATGAGGAGAGCAGAGGAAAGAGGATATCTGAACAAAGGATAACGGGGCCAGGAGAACTTCCCAGTCTGACAGGAACATAAAGAAGAATTTGCCTTTGGATATAAACAGTGACAACCAGATAGGTAACATTTGTAGTTATTCTACTAGACAAAACTACAAATGTTTCATACAAATAACAGAGCTAAGCCCCAAACGTTCTGCTTTAAATACTTCTAATTACCTACAGGTCTTAATAATAATACACCTGAAATTATATGCAATTCCTAGAGAAAAAGTCACACCTCTTAATGGAAAAAAAATGCTCCTCTTTTTTTGCCAGTCCTCATGACATCAGTAATGAAGTGAAAAAACACCAGCCTGTGCCACCTCTCCCTGGCTGCCATTTGTGTTCTCACACTCCCACAGATAGAAGCGATGACATGAAGACTAGTTATGGGGCAATTCATCTAGAATACCAGGTTCTTTGAAAAAAAAAAAAAGAACAACAACAAACCAAACAAAACACAAACCCATGTAATGTGGCAAGTAGATCTTGATCTTTTGCAAGCCTCCCTCTCAAGCTCACTAACTTTGGTTAAGTTTAATTGGAATAATTGGAAAAAAGTCTGAAAATTGAGACATATAGTAAAGAGCTCCAAAGGATTCTCATTTAATGTTATTTTTCTAAAGTGAACATTCGACATATCTTCAGAAGAAAAACAGAGGATTTAAATGCTATACAAAATATCATGCTTTGTGAAAACATCTAATGGTCAGTAGAGCACTGCTTACTCTTGTACCTTTCAAAAGGTATCAATAATGAATGAATGTCATGATTCATCATCTCAATGTCTGCTC